CTTTTATTTAACAATAATTTTTAAAAGCGATATACTTTTATTCTTTTTCACGGAACATAGAGTGTTGCCACTCTCTTAAAAAGAACTTAATGATAATATTACAATCACTTCAGATCACTTCTATTAATAAATTAAATGTAACATTCTCCCACCTTGAATTGTAAAGAATTCAGCATCATATTCATCATAGATGTATAAACTGTTCAAATTTACAGCTTGTAAAAATGTTCACAAATCAAGCCTTTTACATGACGACCCGATCGTGTCATCTTGTTTTCTCCGATAATCTCCTGTAGAACCTGAGGCAACTTTTCCTCCGGCGTATGTTTTCTATTTTGGGCATTGTCTCCTAGTCGTTCTTCCTCTAAATCTTTATGTTTACTTTTCCTTAACTTGTAACTTATATCCTTATTCGAGTCAACTTCAAGAGGATAAATCCTCTGTATAGGGAGTAGCAGAGAAGAGCGAGATGTCTTAACTCTTACCAACCGCACCAATTTATCTTTTCCTAGTTTAATCTGAGTTATCACTCCAAGAAGCTAATCAATTCTTTTGAGATTATCGCTATCAATTAATACTACTTGTCCTATCTTGATCGAATTAGAACACTTCTTTTTAGTTTTCAGCACAAGTAGTCCAAGATATTCCGATCTCAATCTATTTCTTAAAGCTTTATGCAAATTTTGCCTATATCTGAGTCTTCTGTTTAATAATCGTGTTTAATAATCGTTGCTCAACACCGTCTACATCTGGAGTATTGCTGTCATGAACGTCTTGCAAGAACACCGATGGAGAAATCGGTTTGAGAGATTCATGCTCTGATGCATAGGTTAACGGTCGTGAATTCACAATTCTTTCGCAGTCTACTAACACTGTCTCCATCTCCCTATAAGAAAGACAATATTTTCCTAGTACTCTTCTCAAAAGATCTTTTAGAATTCAAATCAGACTCTCCAACCAGCCTTCCCACCAACACGCTGTAGGTGGGTTAAACTTCCATTGGATAGAATTGGAAGCTCCATATTTATCTATACTGTTCCAGTCAACACGCTTCAAATAATTTACTGTTACGTTAAAGTTTGTACCATTATCACTGCAGATGGTTGATGGTCTGCATCTGCATGCTATAACCCTTATTAATGCCATTAAAAATGCATCGGTAGAGGCAGACATAACGAGCTCAAAATATACTGCTCGATAGATATCACAAGTACGTATTATTATCCAACATTTCTGATCCCCTTTAAGGAAGAGAGGACCCGCCATATAAACACTGGTAATCTGGAACACTGCTGCATTCCGTACTCGATCTTCTGGAAGTGATGCTGTTGCTGGTACTGTTTCTAGATTTTTTCAATGTATATCTTAGACAAACAACACACTTCGATAAAACGCTTCTGCCGGTTTCCTACTGTTCAAAATCGAATATTTTTCACGAATTAAGTTCAAGAGGATCTGTATTCCAGCATGGCAATTCCTGATATGAACATACATTATTAAGCGCTTTACGACCTCGTGTTGTGCGGGCAGAACCACTCGATAGAGGAAATTTTCACAATCTTTTCTATAGCTTATTTTTGTCTTCAGTCGCATACCCTCCAACTTATGAAGATTTTGAAAATAATTCTTTCTAGTGGTAGCGAACCAAAGTAGAAATTTTTAAAGCAAATGGATCTCTCATAAAACTTTTATCAGAACTTAAGAATCTAGCCATATGGCCTGCACTTTTATAAGTAATAGTGGACAAGTTACGCTAAAATTAATTTTTTTTAAATATTAAGACATTAATTTTGCTACCGTCTGAAAAGAAGATTTCTGAAACTACGGAAATTCCGTAGCAGTTGGAGGGTATGCAGTCGTATTATCCCATCTTCGTCCTTAAATATTTTAAGAGTCTTCAACCTGGTATTTTTTCCTGTGAGAAAAGACTCATCTTGAACCATCTTCATAACTCTCTTTTCGACTTCTTTATATTCTTTAAAAGTCAATTCCTCTTTAGTTACAAATCTACGCATCAAGTAGTTATGTTTAAATTGGAGGATCCATCCGACAAGTCTCTCATTTTGTTCATAACTCTAGAAATACTTATACCAATCATTTTCTAAATGCATGATTGCACTGTTCACCAAACAACATGAGGTTTTCTTTCTCCTTATTAATCTCTTCTTCATCAATGTTAAAGTAATTGGTTGTGCAAGGCTATATATATATATATACCGTAAACCGGGGCGAGTCTACCCATTTTTTCAGTTTGTCAACTTTCAAGAGGTCAAACTTTTGTAAATATTTAAGAAAAAAAGGCTTTTAATAGGTGTTTTGGAATCGCTATTTATCCCTCTTTAAAGCTGTGAAATTGATTTTAGAAAATATTAACAGTTACGCTGTTACTGTATACTTTTATAGAACTGCTGACAAATCTCTCGTATGGGGCGAGTCTACCCATTCTACTAAAATGAATGTTAACATTGTAGATAATCAAATTTTACTATTAAATTGTTATTTTAGTTACTATACAGGATATTTATGAAGTAAAATTCATAATTTTATTACATATTCCATTTTTTTATTCATAAAATAACACAAATTGAGTATTTGATCGATTATCACATTTTGTTTTTATAATCATTAACATTATAAAATACCATTTTTTTCTGATTATTGTTGATAAAAATAAATTAAAATTAATATTGTTATTGTTTGGCTTTTATCCTTTGGATAGCTTTTTCCATCTCAGGTGGCATTTTTTTTGTAACATTTAATTTCGAACCATCTGTAATAATAAATAATAATTTATTTAACTTGCATTAAATAAAAAAAGCCAATTTTGTAATATAAAAATTGAAAAAGTAGGTAAAATAAAATATTTTATATTTACATTTATATTTAACCTATAAATTTTCTTATTAATGATAAATTTATCAATGCAGAATTAAAATAATATACTCAAATTCATTTAAAATGACTTAATTTTAATATAAACAAAGTTCTAAATTATATTATTATGCTTTATTAAAACTAAATAC